TAGCATAGGGCATTGGCACTGAATACTGGCACCGTTTTCCACAGGCAGTGATAACTTCAGCTGATATCTCACTCGTGAGGGTAACAAAGGCAGAAAGAGCACAGCTGCTGCTGGCGTCCCGAAGTCACCCAGGCCCATATGCTGCTCGCCTGTTTACTGCAATGATGCCTGCTGAAATTATCTCTGAATGGCATGGGAATGCGTCCTCCTGCAGAGGACAAAATAAGGCAGCGCTCCCTAGAAACCTTTGGCAGAGGATTGCAGAGCACATCCAGGAAAGTTTCATTGAAATCTCTCAGGAGGATTCAAGGGACATGCCAGTGCACATGAACTATTCCACATGCCCCTCCCCCCCCCAACTCTAGAGAGGAAGGAAAAGCAGATAAGCAACTTTGCCTTTTTTGTTTGTATCCTTGTCTCTTCTAGCACAAGTAAATTAATGAAAAATCAAAAGATGTGTCCTGCTACTTTGGGGGTGCCATCCCTGTAATTGGAAATTTATCTACAAATTTACTCGTAGTTCCTTCCCCTGCTTCGGGCTCGCCTGTGCTTGACCAGCAGGACTGGCTGGACTGTGGTGGTGTCAGAAAGAGGTCCTGGCTCACTGTACAGCTGGCTCCCTCAGTCGCCTATCCCCCATACTCCTCTTCTTCCTCTTCCACGTCCATCACCTCCTCCTTCTCGCTGTTCGCAGCAGGGAGCCCTTGTGCTGTTGGGGAGGGGGGGTCTGCCAAATATGGCATGCACTTCTTTGTAAAAGTGGCAGGTTTGCAACTTGGCACGGGATTGATTATTGGCCTCCCTGGCCTTCTGACAGCTTCTTGGCTTTCATGTGGCACTGCTGCTGGTTCCTGTTCTTTTTCTTCTGCATCCCATGATCAATCTGCTTGTAGATGTCAATGTTTCTACAGCTGATTCGGAGCCGTACCTGTGCAGCCTCTTCTACTCACCAAGCCAGACAATCAGGAAAAGGAATTTTAAAAATTTATGGGGCTTTAAAGGGGAGGAGGGACTTCTGGTCTCAGTGACCCCTTGGCAATGGAGCTCACAATGGTGACCAGAGTGGTCAATGTGGGGCATTGTGGGACAGCTGCTGGAGGACAGTTAGTCTTGACATAAGTAATGCAGTGTCTACGCTCACGCTGCGATGACCTAAGTACATGGACCATGGCTCTATGCTGCTTGAGGAGGTGGTGTTAGTGTTGGTGTAATGGGGCACTTACATTGGTGAGAGACCAATTTAAGTGTAGACACATGCACAACTAGGTCAACGTATGCCTTGCATTGACCTAACTTTGTAGTGTAGACCAGGCTTCATTGTTTATTCCTTGCCATTCTGGGCAGATTTGAGTGTTTGGAAAACATTTTCCTTCCTTATATCATTCATTCTCTCCTACTGGCATGTCAAAAAGGAGGGACAGAAGCATTGTTTTACGGGGATCAAAAGGGTGGCAGCTTCATTAAACAAAGATGAAAATAGACAGTTGTTGCCATGTTTCACAGTGAATCACATTTCCTCTCGAAACAAAGAGGCCATAACCATTATCAGGGACCCTCCATAAAACTGATGTCAGTTGGGGCACCATGTCCTACTTGTGGGTTCCGCCAACCACACTCTGAGTCTTGCTTCTTTAGAGCAGAGTAGCTATATCACTGTGATAGGGTATACAAACCCCCACCCTGGGCCTGAAGGGGTTAAAAGGCAATACTGGGCCCAAGTAGCCCTGCCCCCTACAGGCTTGCTGGTCATGCAGCAGGAGCAGCAGGTTAAAAGGAGCTTAGAAGCCCAGGCAAGGAGTGGTGGACAGGCTCTGAGAGGGGGCAGTCAGGGGACAAGAAGCAGGGAGGCTTAGATAGGGGGTGTGGTCCTAGGGGGCAGTTAGTGGCAGGGGTCCCAGGAGGGGGCAGTCAGGGGACAAGGAGTGGGGGGGGTTGGAGGTTCTGAGGGGGGCAGTCAGGGGGTGGGAAGTGGGAGGGAGTGGATGGGTGCGGGGCAGGGGCGGGACTAGAACGGGGTCCCCCCACCCAGTGTCCTCTTTTTTGATTGTGGAAATATGGTAACCCTAATTATCCCTGCTGTGGCCAGGACTACATAAAAGCAGGAGGAAAAATGTGACATAAAAAATAACAGGAAGGAAACACTGAGGGATATACACGGCCATCCTGATGAACCAGTTACAGGAAATGGACAAAGGACTGCAGGAAAACCCCAATCCATCTCTTGCAAATAGCTTCAAGGTTACAATGCATATGCCCAACTAGGGCAATAATTAACCTATCCTAGAAGAAACTCACCTATAAATCAAACACAAGTGGAAGCTGGGAGTCTCCACTTCTTTGTTCTCTCTACCAGAGTAGAACAGCTTGCTGAGGCACCATAGGAGCCCAACTAGTGGAAGCTTTTCAAGAGGATGCACTGAATTATATCTCCTAGGTATTCTGACCATACCCCTACCCTAGCCAGCACAGCGGCGAGTTATATGGACCCGTGGTGCCCATGCTCCATCAATATTCCTGAAGGTGGGCCCAGCTCCGTCAATGTTTGGGCCCCAGGCCCCGTGCTTTGTGGGGCCCCGCGCCATGGGTGGGCAACATGGGGCTCTCTCACCTCGGGGGCAGCTCCCCCCGTCCCCGGAGTCTCTGCGTGCTGCGGAGAGGCCCCAGCACTGACCCAGCTCCCAGCCCATTGGCCGGGAACCTCGGGCAATGGGAGCTGCAGGGTCCGATGCCAGAGCTCCCTGGCCACGCCTCCACAGCAGGGAGGGGGAGGGAGCCACAGGCAGAGAGAGCCCCAGGAGTCTGTCACTGTCAGAGACACACAGACACAGCCGTGGGGTTGTGGGGACAGACAGATGGAGCTGCGGGCAGGGGAAAGGAGCAGTGATGGGCACCCCGGGGCTGGCATAAAATACACAGTACAGAGGGGGCTTCCTGAGGGGGCTACCCCATCCCCCCGCAGAGCAGACCTGGGCTGTGGCTGGCTCCATCCATCACTCCCCCAGCCCCACAGAGACCCACACAACCCTCTGCCCCCCTAAGAGACCCCCAACGACCCCTGTGCCACTGTCGCCCCTCTCCAGAGAGCTCCCCCTTTGTGCCAGACAACTCCCCTCCCACACTGCCTCCCCTGCTCCAGAGCTCCGTACAATCTCCCCCTTTGCCTCCCCTCCCACCAGCCCATTGGCCAGGAGGCTCCCAGCCTATTGGCCAGCATGGCCAATGGGAGCTGCACCTGAGATGATGCCTGCTTGCAGATGCAGATCTGCCTGGCCGTGCCTCCACAGCACGGGGAGGGGGAGCCACAGGTGAGCAAGCCCCAGTCATCATCATCACAGGCACAGCAATTCTCTGGATTTTTAATTTCACTGAGGAAAGTAATTCAATCTACTCTTCCTTTCCAGACAGTCTGTGGCTTTTCCTGTAAGAAAACTTACAATTTCTTTGCAAAGAAGTCCATTTATAGTTTTTTTTCACTTGAGAAGTATATTTTCTGGTTGTTCATAAGCTCATTTATTTTGTTAACTCGGTTTAATAGGCAATTTTAAAAGCCACTTGAATTGTACCTGGTTTTTTCCATTGGTCCATGGAAGATGTGCAGATTTTTATTTCTGTGGGCCAAACCACCCTGTGTAGAAATGTAAATTTCAGAGCTAGAAAAGCTGTGCAAGGGTAAGGGTCCCTTCAGGAAATTGTCCTCAAGTCATTCATTCTTCTGGGCATTCCATTCTATTGTTCCCTCCTATAGTGATAGTGATCAGTGTTTCCACCCACAGCGGCGACGCAGAAGACTGGGTCAACCCTGCAGTGACTCTGCCTCTACCCTTGTTCTCTGTCTTCTCCCTCTACCAGCCCCTTTGGTCTCCCTAGAATTACCCCTACCATTACTCCCTCTGCGTCTTCTTTCTCTGGAGCTTCTCATGAAGTAAAGTCTGTCATTACAGGTTCTCATCTCTGTAATGTATTTAATTTTGATGTATTTATTAAGTGTTAATTAATGCACTATGGGAGTCCCCTTCAGCCCTCTGTATGAATTGATCCTCTTCTTTCCATATGTTTTGCCCATAGGGTTTTCTGCAGCCCTAGGGCAGTCAGCAATAACCCCTGTGCCTTTGCAATGGGGTGAGGGAAGGGGACCATGGGTTCCCTATTTATGTGATTTGCAAGAAGTGTTATCATTACTCAAGGTACCAAATGTGTTTAAATGATATAAGTGCCTTATAAAATCCCAAAGCAAGCTCATTTTCATTTCTCATATAATCTCACAGGATACACACATTTTTCATTTAATTATATGAGTTGAATTTATTATTATTATTATTATTTATTATCTAGGTTACTGGATTTTTTTTCAGTGTGGCAAAATGTGTGCTATTTTATGGGTTGAATGATTGAATGACATAATACCCCCCTGCCCCCAATGTCCGTCACTGAGTCTGGTAATTTTGTCAAGTGTTCATCGCACAACATGGTGGTACCTACCCCTGCCTTGTGCTTCAGGGTGTCACGGGGTCCAGGGTGGCCTGGGGAGTTAGTGGGGGGCCTGGCGCTGGCAGCAGCGAGTCACCTGGCCCCAGCCCACTCCGCTCCACCTCGCCGGCTCCCACCATTGCTCAGGGGCGGGGGCTGCGGGAAGAGGCGGAGTGGGGGCGTGATAGGAAGAGGTGGGGTGGAGCAGGGTTTCTCGCTGCTGTCGGCGCCAGGCACCCTGCTAACCGCCCAGGCCACCCTGGAGCCCGCGTCCCCCTGAAGCACGGGGCCCCCCAAAGCGTGCTAGCCAGTGCTGTGCATTCCAGGCACCCCGGTGGGGTAGGGATTGTGGGCACCTTGTGTCATGTGGTTTATCACTGAATGAGGGCTGGAAACATTATATACATTCCACAATGTAATAGAAAAGTCTCTTATGACATTACTTAACCTTAGATAGAAACCTTAGTGTCGTTTAATTAATTGCAGTACTTGATGGCTGAAATAATTGCTACGCCCTTGTATCTTCTTTTCAGAACATAGTCAATTACAACTTTAAAAGATTTCTGCCTTAACTGAGTGCACGGGTAGTTACTGCAAGGAAGGACTGACAGCACTTTCTTAAACACCACTGGGTCTTCTTACAAGTAAGTCCTCTTTCTTATTTACTTTTCTTTCTCGCCCTCCATTCCTGACTTTTCTCTTCTCTTTTTTCTGCCACTGACTGCCATCATGACTAGAACTGGGTGACATTTTTCAACCAAAACTTCATTTCAGGGAAAAATGCAGATCTGACAGCAATACTAAATCATTTTGTGAATTCACGTTGATTTCACCAAATTGTTCATTTAGGGAAAAAACCTTAAAAACAAAAATTGAAATGATTTTTCAGTGTGACATTTCCTTTAATTTTATTTTTAAAAATCCAAAAATGTTTAAAGGTGCTCAAAATTGAAATGGAACTTTTCACTTTGGTTCAAGTGAAGTGTTTCATTTAGCCCGAAACAATTGCTTTCCAACTTTTTTATCCGCCAAAAATTTAAAAAAAAATTGTTTTTGGTCCAACTCGAAACAAATTTTCTTTGATGTCTCAAAATTGCCAGTGAACTGAAAAATCCATTATTTGCTGACCTGCCAATAGAAAAGAGAGCAATTCACTGTGGCACTGAGACCAAAATAGCTCCACAAAATGATTGATGATGAATAATATAAAAGAATTCAAAATTTCCGGCCTCCCAAGTAGACTGAGGCCTGTCTACACTACAGTTGAGGCAGGTTACTGTGTTACAATTTTTAGTATCAATGCGACCTTAACCATGACCTTGGACATATCCATGTATGGTTATATATCAATTGTAACTATAGTGTAGGTAGGTCAATAAAGCATCCTTCACAGTGAACTTTTTTGGCCATGGGATCCTAAATTTTGTACAGACTTGAGCCACAGCGACCCCAGAAAGAGGTACTTTCCTGAGTCAGAGTGCCTCAGAATCTACTGCCCCTCTGTTCACAAAAATGTCCTTCGAACTCACAAGATTTGAAAACAGAAGAATCAATTCATTATAGAAAAGACAGCAACAATAATTCCTTACCAAGCCCCAGGTAAGGGGCTCTTTGCTCTTTGGGATTCCTTGTGTTGCCGAGTTGCTTCTCTTTCTGCAGGGCATTAGACCTGAGATTCAACTCCAACTGCAGTGTTCTGAGCATCATTTGATGGTCCAATTCAGAGCCCCTCTTGACCATCTTTTCACTAGCTAGTGACATCAGTGGTGTCATGTTTTTAGCTCCCTCCACACCTGAACAGCCCTGATACAACTATGTTACTTAGCCCTCAGGCTAGTCTGCATTCAGTTTTTTCATCAATCTAACTAAATCCAGAGAAAAAAAATCTAGATTGCTGCAGTCCCCTAGTGTGAATGCAGTTATAGCAGCATAAAGCTGTTTATATTATTATAGCTCGTTTCGGTAACAATTGTTTATATTGCAGTAGCACCTAGGAGCTTTAATCATGGACCAGGGCCCCGTTGTGCTAGGTCCTGTACAAACACACAACGAAAGATGGTCCCTGCCCCCAAAAGCAAAGCAGTACAAAAACTAAGTAGACAAGCCCTCAAAGATTTTGGGACTCTGCCACCTCCTTCTCCACTTATCCCCTGGCGTTATGGATGGCACTGCCTCTGTCATAGGTAAACCAGAGAATAGGAGGACCATCTTACCGGGTCCTTGACTCTGATCCTAAGGGAAGAGCAAGCCACCTGTAGGACCAGCTTTTTAAGGGACCCCAAGTCTAGCAAAGAGCATCACAACTGAGACAAATCCTGTGATGCTCTCTCTTAAAAATGTAGGGGGCCTTAGGAAGGTTGAGGAACAGAGTCAGCGATTTGGGAGGTTTTACTGGACAGGGCCGGCTCTAGGTTTTTTGCTGCCCCAAGCAAAAAAAATTTTGGCTGCCCCCACCCCAGCCTGGGCTCCCCCCCACACACCCCTGCTGCCCCAGCTCTGGGCTCTCCCCCCCCACACCCCGTGCTGCCCCAGCTCTGGGCTCCCCTCTTCCCCCCCACCAGTGCCCCCCCACCCACACACCCCCTGCCGCCCCAGCCCTGGGCTCTGCCCCCTCCACCCGCACCCACTGCTGCTCCAGCCCTGGGCTCTCCTCCCCGCCGCCCCCACCTGCACCCTCCTTCCGCCCGAGCCCTGGGTCACTGGTAACTCGCTCCCAGGGCAGATCATTCAGCAGGAATTTTAGATGTGCACAGAACACAGACAGGATTGGTTCCCATATGGTTACAGAACTGCAGTAAAGTGGAACAATTTTCAGCTTGTGTGATTGGAGGATATCTGGATGCATATTATAAGACTGTCCTCCATAAATGAGGAAGAGTTGAGGTGCCTTTATTATTCTTTTGTTCCACTCTTTGTTTCTATGGGGAATTTGCCAATGCAATATCACTGTCTTCCTTTTAAACAAACTAAAAAAAAAAAAAAAAAAGCAATGGCTGTTGAAAATAGCAATTCCAGTCCTAAAAACTACTGGGAAGCATTTCTTGCTCGATTTTATCCTACTTTTTCTACAGCAAGTTACAGTGGATCAGTATATATAATTTGGGAGAAATGAAGTAACAGCTGCCCAAATTGAGCTTGAGCGCTCCTGAATGTTGAGGTGTTCAAATCTGGAAGGCAGATGCTAGATTCCCTTTCTGAATATTAGCTAAATCTGGAAAGGAAAAGTCAATTTCTGCGTCCATGGCTCAGAAGTGGAAATCCTCCTACGTGCCTGGTACTGTATCTAAAGCTGCCCAGGTCCAGTAGAGCCTCCCCTCCCTTACTTTTCATTTTAAATTCTAGTGGGATCCACATACCTCCCTTGCTAGGCTTCAGATAGAGAGAGGCACTGTCCATTTAATCCACCCAATTCTTTCTTTGGGGCCTGCAAGGTGAGGTCACACCAGTATCCCTAATCCAGTCTGGGGATGTCTTCTGAAGGGGATATCTGAGCCAAAGCCTTCTACTCCTTGGGCATACTTGTTCCCCATTCACAGTGCCACACCGCTCTAGCAGTGAGCTCTCCATTCACAGCCAGCTGCAGCATGAGGTTTCAGCTACCACACTCCCTCCCCCTCCCTTTCCTGTTGATAGCGGCCAAGGGAATGCTGGGAAATGTAGTTCTTTCCCTGCTCCAGGGCTGGCTCTATAGGCAGGGAGCTAACCAAGGAACTACAGCTCCCAGGGCCCCCTGTTGGTTCTCAGCTCCCAGGCTGGATCCCTGCCGGCTGCCGCCCCTGCAAATGGACTGCCCCAAGCACCTGCTTGCTTTGCTGGTGCCTAGAGCCGCCCCTGTTACTGGATTTAGGGAGAGGAAGTTGGGAGAATCAGTAACTTGTTGGGAATAAGAATGTGGGAGATGGGAAGTCCAATGTAGGATTAGAGAGGGAGTTAGGTGTTAAAGGGAAAGGATAGGATCATAAAAAGTTGAAAGGAGAAGGATCTGGTTGGATTAAAGGAGGGAGAGAGGATCCTCAGAATGTTTAATAAGCTCGAGGTCAAACAAACATCCCGTTTGCTCAGGATTTATCTGAACTGAGGTGAACTTCAGAACTTATGAAGTTCCCCCATCACTAAAGAGCTAGGTTTATATGAAACTACATTTGTAAGAGACAAAATTATTTATAAACAACACAAACCACTCTCCCTTGCTTCACAACTGAGGAAATATATTTTTAAAAAATCCATCCCACAGTCTTTTCCACCTATATAGCAATGAAGATTTTCATATCACTACAGTGCACCTTAGGCTAAGGTATTTCTCTCTTTGTGGCTGTATATAACTACAGTAGATATTATGTTGTTTTCTTCTTGTTGGAGTATGTTCCTCTTCAGAGCATGCTGTGGGTGTTGTGAAACTCAATACATGGCTTAATGCTTCTTCAGCTTTGGCAATCCTATTTGATCATACTGTGCTGATAGGTAGTGAAATAGTAGGACATTATCACATTTTGCCACTGCATATTTCTGGAATAAAGATGCACAAAATAAATTGAATTTAAGCCGTATAATAGAGTTACTAGAGTAGCAAAAGTTTTTACCTGCTATAATTAATTAAGCTTAGCTACTGCTTTCCAAAAAATGAGACTTCATAAGAATACACAGTTTATAATATCATATGTAGTGAGATAAGAAAATTAGATTTAAAGAATATTATTTACCATTTCTATAGCTATTATTGTTTAAGAGTGCGATTAATTGAGATTAATTTTAATCGCTTGACAGCTCTAATATAAATTGTAATGCAAATGCAACAGTGTGTTCATATTTCTCTAAGACCTGCTGCCACTAAAACTATTGCTGAAAGATCTAGTTGTCGGGTGTTAGTATCCGTTGCCCAAGGTCTTTTGACAAACATAGCTTAGCATTAAATAGAAACAAAAAGGGAGAAAAAACTTTGATTTTGGGAGCAATCAGGGTTTTATTTGTAATGGGGAAAGCAAAAGACAGGTGAACAGGAATGAAGATATGATGAATAACATGTTTTAATTTTGTTAGGAGAATTCCAGAGGAAAACTATTTGTGACCAGGTCACACAGAGGAAATATTGTGGTTTGTTTTATTTTTTTAAAGAAGGCAAGAGCCAAGGTTTCAGGTAGCTTTGGTATTGTTAGTGAGTGGTGATTATTGTGGGTTCAGAAGCCTGCCTTCAAAATTCAGAGTCCAGATTTTCATGATGTGTACAATACTGTATATTTTATTTAAAGTAACTTAGCAATGCTAATATACATTTTCCTAGAAACACATTTTGTATATGAGGGTGCTCTGTGGTACCTTAATATAAAAACTTATTCAATCAAATGTATGTTTCTATTGTTGTTTTTCTCCCGATTGGATTTATACTAATACTTTGATATTTTTCTTAGGTTTCTAACCATCATCTTAGCAGGCTTCTCCCAGAATAAAGCCTAAGTGCATCTTAGTGTGTGTTAAAGAAAAAAAGGTGGGGGGAGTGGGAGAGTTAGCTGCACTCCAGAAAATCCATAAATAAAAGGTGTTAACCTGTGATCCAGTAACTAGTGCAATTATATAGACAAATGTTTCTGATCCTAATCATCCTTTCTTCTAGTTGTAGGAGTTGCTAACTGGGGTATGCTTCTGAACA